CTTAGAATCACCTTAACGAGTCGTTATATTTTCGAATCTTCTGCCTGTTACCGATCTATGTCACTGGGTAACACATTTGCATAATCCCCGCCTGCCCGTGAAATACGAACACTCTGACAAACACTTCCGCTAGTTAGTGTGTTTACATCATGTCGAGAAGACATCATGCGTTTTCAGCCTCACTGGGCAATGGGCATTCTAACACAGTTCCCACTCGTGCACCTCAAATAAGTAAATAATAATAATAATGAATGCAATAAAACTGCTGTCACATCACGTAAAGTACCACATACAATGTTTAAACTTACCACTGAGAAACTTCCTGATCAAGTCGTGCTTGCGATGGAATTTCCGGTTGAAAGACAGCATCAGTATCATCCTCGGGCTCAGATTGATAAGGTAATGTCGATGCCATTTTTGTAACCTTATAGCATCTTTGTTTACAAGTAACCCACCGGAGCAAAAAATTAATTATGGTGATGGTCATTGTATACAGAAAGACCAGTCACAACAGACTTGGCCAGCTGACCAATCAGAGCAGAGTAGGCTTATGGAAGGGAGGGGTTTACAGACCTTAAGCTCAGAACTGCTTAGAATGAATCGTTTTGAAATCATTGAAAAAAATTTCTAATATTAAATGTATATTCTGAGAAAATTACAATGTTTTCTGACCTTAGATTCATTTAAACCTGTTGTAGGGGACACAATATTAGGACACTTTAAAATACCATATGACCTGCTCTTTAAAACATACACACACACACACACACACACACACAGTTATACAGAACTACTGTATACAACATATTCTATATTTAATATGAATATGTGTGTTCATACACAACTGTTTAAAAGTTTGGGGTCAGCAAGAGCATTTTTACAGAAATTAATACTTTTATCAAGGACACATCAAATTGATCAAAAGTGGCATTGTAACATTGTTACAAAAGATGTCTTTTCAAAGAAAAACTTCCTACACATTTAAAGAATTCTGAAATAAAATAAGCACAGTTTCCACAAAATATTAAGCAGCACAACTGTTTTCAAAACTGATAATTATAAGACATGTTTCTTGTCAAATCAGTATATTGCAAGGATCATGTGACACTGAACACTAGAGTGATGGGTGCTAAAAATTCAGCTTTGTCATCATAGGAAAAAATTACATATTAAAATATACTGAAATAGAAAACAGTTATTTTAAATGGTAATAATATAATTCAGAAATAATATAAATTATTATGAATGTTTCTGATGTCACTTTTATTCTCTATGACCATTTGGTTCTTTTCATTCTATATTAGTTGTAATTCGTAATGATGTTGTGTTTATATAGTAAACCTAACATTTGTATAGTCATTTGGAGCATTTTACTGTGTTTCATGCATTTCTTTTCTGTTACACCCTTTTTTATTGTACTTTGTTCCCTATTCCAGCTCAATATCTGCCTGTGCTCTTGGGGCATTCTTTAAGAATCAGAAAGTAAAAGGCTCTGCTTCTCTATCAGCCATTATAATGGTTTTCCAGCTGAGGCTATGAACAGCCCCAGTGTGATGCTAAAAAAGCCTCTCTGTGCCCTTGCTTTCTCTCTCTGGCCACGCACCGGCCATGAAGCCCTAGGGGAAGTTGTGAAAAGAGGGAAAGGGTGCAGACAAAACAGAAGGATGAAGTCATTTAGTGACAGAATGGCAGTTTGGAGGGGTTTTGTGATCTTACTTTAAAAGGAGGTGACCCTTAGAGACCAAATGATTGACATGTTATGGATCCTATCTGGAAGAGTGACATGAGGTTGACCCTCTCTTTTCATTGCTTCTCTGCTTCTTCACAGATGTCCAATGTGACCCCTGAGCACTGTGCGGACATAATCAATAAGTTTGAAGTCTCTGAGGAGAACAAGCAGTATGGAGTTCTTGGAATCGAAGGTGAGGACTTTGTTTGGCCACACTCAGCTTTTCTTTACCTCCCTATTTTCATAGATTTATTGGAGAATACCTGACCGATTGTCAGAATAACTAGACTCTATTCTATTCCTGATCATGTGTGTAATAAAAAAACATTCTATTTAATTATGCTGTAACCAAACATTATTGTCCAAACTAATCTCAGAACAGCACAAATCCAACATCAATAGTGCTTACAGAAGGCACTGCTAAACCAGCACCAGTTAAACAGATCTGAGCTGTCATGAAACTGTCACGTTTATTTGTTTGGCATGTGTGTTTGCATGTCCAGTAAGTGGCAACCTACTGTAGAAACTATGGAATATGTGACTCCAAAGCTGTGGCAGAAAGTATCTATGTGAAAGCTGTATTTTGGTACTTCCCTTTGTTTGCTGACACATCCACTATATTAGAAATGGCTTTACCGTTTACATTTTACAAAGTGGTGAGTAGTGTGAAAGCAGAACAGGCTGTTCTGCTGGATCTTAAAGTTTCTGTTTGTGTGTGTTGTGAAATTTCATCTGATCTTGTTGGAGCTTTATTGATTGGGTCCATGAGCACTGTCCACTGACAGTGAAGCACTGGCTGCCTTCTTTTCCCTTAAGCTAAATAAGACACAGGGGCTAAGTTCAGCTTGGCTTCCTGCTAGAGCAAAGCTAGTAGAACTGATTGACCCTGCCTGCTGTGTGTGAGTCCTTAATAATCCTCTGGTCAGACATCAGTGTAAGAGAGAAACGACTGACTGTCTGTCTGTCTGTCTGTCTGTCTATCTATCTATCTATCTATCTATCTATCTATCTATCTGTCTGTCTGTCTGTCTGTCTGTCTATCTATCTATCTACTAGGGCTGCCCTCGACTAAGGATTTTTCTGGTCGACTAGTAGTCGTTCATTTGAAGCATTAGTCGACTAATCGCACGTTTATTAATAAACTGTTTAAATCATTATAATGAGCCTTTAATTGCCTACATAGCCATAAGCGCTCAAGCACACGCATAAAGCCTGCCACAGCGCACCGGCAGAAGTAATGTGTCAGTGAAAAACAGTAAGGAGACTGCATTAACTTTCTTTGTTCTCGGTTTAAGAGATGAACTCGGCGACACTTATGCCGAGTTCACACTGCACGATTTTAGCCCGATTTTTCACTCGCCGACAGGTTTTGCGAAATTGCCGACAAATGCCCGAAATCGGAGGGAAGTAACGGGCTAGGACCCCTGGGTTGTTCGGTCTCAGACCTGGACTTCGTGAGGCCGCTATCCCGGTCTTTCAGCAGGTCAGCCTGATATGCTTGGAGCATCACCACTTGAAAACTTCTATGTGAACACACTTGCCCGAAAAAGTGCGGGGGACGAATTTAGGTGATATTAAAAGTGGGGGGATTACACGTCCCCCGCGTAATCTACGCCCCTGGATTGAGCAGTCATGTAAAGTTGCTAATACTTGCATATTTCAGATGGTAAGCCATATTTGAGGTCGATGAATGATAGGCGAGCCTTTGAATGTCCTGCCTGATGTACCGTATTACCATAGACTAGCCGTTAACGATCTGTCCGTCACGAACTGCGTGACTTCGCCTGTGGTCGACCAAGCCTCTTCTGGTCGACTAACGATTAGTCGACTATTAGGGGGCAGCCATACTATCTACTTTATCTATCTGTCTGTCTGTTTGTCTGTCTGTCTGTCTGTCCGTCCGTCCGTCCGTCCGTCCGTCTGTCTATCGGTCGGTTGGTCTGTCTGTCTGTCTATTTATTATCTGTCTGTCTGTGTGTCTATCTATCTACCTATCTATCTGTAACAACGTTCGTAGATCGGGAAGAAGGAGTCGGGAACCGGCGAACATTCAAACACAAAACTTTAATAAATAAACAAACACAAAACGAAAGTAAAAGCGGAAGCCCCTCACAGACGACTGCCGAATACAACAACAACATAAATAGTCCAGGCCTGGTCCTCTCTCGTCCTCCACTGTCGTCACTCCTCCTTTTATCCTTCCGGAGCTCCTCTGTGGGACTCGAGACCGGAGAGTGGTGCAGGTGTTGCTCATTATCTTTCACTCCACTGGCCTCGCTCCGCTCCCACGGCTCTCGGCCCCGCCCCACTCGTCACATACTCCCATTGCCCCTCGCAGGCCGGGGGCTACCCACGAGACTGCGCTCTACTCCCCCCCGGGGGCCACGTCACGGCGGCCGCAGCACCTGGGGGTAAGGACAGGCTAAGATGATCATAGAAACATTTACCACCAAATGGTCTCAACAATCGACTTAGCTCACGATGCTTTTGAGAAACACAGCCCTAAACATTGCAGTTAACAGCAGTGACATTCAAAATGTATGTTAGGACTGCGTTTACTGAAAAAATGCCGGCTAACTTTAACATTAGTGCCCTTCTTTGACGTTAACATTATACTATAAGCAGTGACGCTAAAATAGCATTCAAAATGCGCATTCAAAAGCACTAGGGAAATGCAGCGTTTCCCAAAAATGAAAACATTCCTTTATCATGATATTCTTACAGCACTCAAAAAGCAAATAAGAAATTTTCACAGTTTTTTTTAAATTTACTTACAAGTTGTTCCATTAAGTTTGCTCCGGTCGCTTGGGAGTCTCCACAATGTTGAATGGATTCTTCTGAATGTCGGTTAGAGCAACGACGTGACGTCACTTTACGTCACTCAGTAAACTTAAAAATAATAATTTAAAGTCCCCCTGTAGTCAAATATTTTATCCCTTAAAACTTATCTTTGATCATCAAAATTACATATTTAAATGTTTTTTCATGTGAAAATAATTTTCTCATTCCTTAAAATAGCTTGAATGCAACTCTACACCCTTGCCTCATTTACTATACGCTGATCTATGAATATAGAGTTTACTCAAAACTGTTGAGCCACACAAAAATAAAACTAAATTCCTAGTTCAGAAAATTTAATTGTTATAAGTTGCATCAACGATTTAACAGACTTAAATTGCAGTGTTCTTAATCTTTATAAGTTAGTAGTACTGTTCGGGTTTACAGTGTGGTATTAATGTGCGTTTTGGTCGATCAGATCAAAAGTAGATGAGGGAGTGTTTTAATCCATCTTTTTTGTCCATTTTTGACCACTTTTCTGATTTCTTTGAGGGGAGGGACTATGGGTGGGTGTATGAATGGGCCTTTTCTAACCTTTCAATCTAATATTGCGAAATAAACTTGTACAATTTACATACGAACGTGAAAGGAGACAACAGAATGTGACACAGAAGGCATCAGCTTTTGTTATATCTGCTCTGATAGCTGCAAAAATATGCCAAATGCTGTGGGTTTGTGTTAGAGTCAGGACTGCTAAGAGAACATTATGCTTTTTATATTTTTTCGTCAGCCGGCAGTTTAAATCCCATCTGTTTAAGAATTAGGTCAGTAGGCAGAGAGGAAGTGGTCTATAGTGGCTGTTCTAACACATTTTGACCACATGGGCGTTTACACTGTGAAAGCAATCCAATCAAATACGTTTTCGACTACCTCTGGAGTGGACAAGCTCAAAACATTTCAGATCCCATTTATACTTGTATTTAGCGTTGTACGCTTGTGATTGTATAGACAAAAACACATCTTAATACCATGTGTAAACAGGGACTACCTGTCTGTCTGTCCTTTTTATACATGGTATTTATTGCACATTTGCAATAGTGTTTTGTTTATGTGTGTGTCGCTTCCATAATTGAATGTATGATATGCTTCTTAGTGACTTGTTTTCCATTAGTGGCTTGTCAAGCTGAAACTAATTGATTCAGCACACATCTGCTGCATACCACTCTCACACAGCTCTCTTTTTGTCTAAAAACTGCATTTTTGAAAGAGAGCAAGACATTTAGACTTTTAAAAAGTCACTGGAATGATCCCTCCAGTTGTTGCGCTCTGCAGTTTTGCCATGACCATTTTGCCTGATGTCCTCATATTTTCTTGGCAGAGTTTATTGTGTAAGGTTGTAACTAGGGATGCTCCGATCGATCGGCCGGAGATCGGTATCGGCCGATTCGACCCACCCGCAAATAATCCGAATGCATTTTTTAATACCCGACCCGCGGATTATCCGCAGCACCCGTGGATATAGGAAAAGCAAAATAAGTTTGCTGCCTAAATCAGACAGATTTACTGAAAATGCAAATTAATTCTCTGCCAGCAG